GTTTAGGGCTTGCTTGTGAGGGGTGTAGGGGTTCCGGGCCGCAAGCTGTGACGATTATGGGTTTGCACCGGAAGGTTTGGGGGGGGGTTGCAGAGTAACGGCGATCGTAGCCATAGGGCTGTGGAGTGAATTCATGGGTTTCTTTGGGGTTTGATAAGTTCTAGAAGTAACCCTAAACCCTAAACTTTGGCCCTAAACCCTAGAAGGTTCGAAGAGTCGCCCAGATTGAGGTGTTACTCTGCCTTAGAGAATGAGGTTTAGTGCTTCTGAGTTTAGTAGGGCTTGGCGGTTCAGGGTCCAGGGCCGGCCTATTGGGTTTCGATTTTTCGTCACGGCTGTTTCCAGCTTCTTGCCAGCTTCAGCCGGAGGCTCTAGGCTACTCTAGGAAGCTGATTAAGATACCGAGGGTCTTCAGGGTTTAGGGTTTAGTGCTCAGCTATCTTGGATCCCAAAATTTTGGGGGCTAGGGTTTCTTCTATTACCGCATCACACATTTTCGGTGATAGTCTGCTCTTAGAGGCATCCATCCGGTTTGCCTCCTCATAGCAGCGCGTAGTAGTAGAGTACGTCACCTTTAACCTTAAGGGGATCTCGGATATCCCGTAATCAGCCGTGGTCCCTACATATTCCCAGATGCTAACCTTGAGTTCTGCTTAAAATGTTTGACGAGTAAGAGCTAAATCAAGGGAAGCAGATTTGACACTGGGTTGCCTTTGCAGCAGGTGGAGAAAGACAGAGCCAGATCCACCTTCGACGCCAGCACCTGCTGCGGTGCAGCCCACACCAGGCAAGCCTAGATCCATGAGAAGCTGGCAGACTCAGTGTCGCAGCATTCCAGCTTAACCCCATGATCTATATCCGAAGGGGTCATCGTAACTCATATTGCATTATGTCATAATGGATTAACTGATTGAATTGAAGTGTTGTTTATTAAATTATCGTATATGTATGTTATGGTACACTACAGTATGTTGTAGTATGTGCCCTAAACCCTATGGCTTCCACAGCAAGCCTGTATTGCAAATAGTGGCAAGCCTTGAGCCCGAGAGAGGTGGGCATCCGTGCATGTTCTTTTGAAGAGCGCACAAGGGTTCGAGAAGGGATCATTTAGGTTCTATAGGGTTTAGGTTCAGGAAGGCGTCCTTATCGTCCGTTCTACGGAATGACAAAAGCCCGTCCATTATTACTGGTCGTTAATCAAGTGTAAAGGCGTGTATATTGAATCATTGCTAAATTATGGCCACTGCATTAGCATGAAAACTAAGAGTGGAAACACTTATTAGATCCTAATCAGATCCGAAAAGATTCACCCTAGAGCTGCATGCGCACAGCCACCACATCTGAGCACGCTTCTCATGGCTTCTGCGGAGAAGGAGGATGAGCCGCTCAGCCGCAGACTGCTGCTGCTCTTCCTCCTTTGCAGCTTCCAGATGTAAAATCATGATTTCAGTACGAATACTCAGCAAACGAAGCAGTCTTCCTAGCTTATCTATAACATGTTTCGTTGATGGTTGGACGACAATTGCAGGATCATGGCTGTTTGAAGGTTTCGCAAAAGCCGTTCCACGCTCGAATCCTCGTGACCCTAACTACCCTGATTGATGCCCTGAGAACCATCCTAGCAAACATCCTAGGCAACCGCAGACCCTTGACAAGTATGGGAGGCTTTCAAGACTCCGTAGATTAGAGTTTAGGATCTAGGTTGTGGGGTTTAGGGCTTTTGGGGTGCAGAGAGCTGTTGAAGAGCTCTGTTGCTTGAGGTCGGTCCTCCGTCTGCGCACCTGGCTTCAGGAACGCGGCGCACATGGCCTGGACAGGCCACATTTTGGCCTCTTGGGTTTCGGTGCAGGGTTCCCCTAACCAACATCTAGTCATCTTTGGGCCCACGACGGCATAGACCTTAGGGGTTCAAGCACTCACATTGAAGAGCTAAGAACATACATCTTGCCTGATTATTGGAATGAGTCGGAGCAGCTTGGTCATGTTGAAAGACTGACCTGCACATTTGGCTTCCTTTTCGTCTGTGGCATGTGCCCAACGCTCTTCCAAAACCCTAAGCCGCGAGCACCCTTAACATTTTTCTGATGTCCTGATTACCCATAGACCCCAAAGTAGTTCCTTTTTGGGGTTACCTTATAGGATTCTATATATGAGCCCCAAAAAGGAACTACTTTGGGGCCTTGGGGTAGGGATGTTTGCTTCGGAGGACGAACCTGCGTCGCGTGGGCTTCCCAACGAAAACCGACGCTCCTCTGGGAGATACCATGAACCCAAGACTAACGCCTACCTAGAGGCTCCATAGTAGTTCCTGTTTCATATTTAATCCTATAATGTAATCCCCAAAAGGAAGTACTATGGAGCCTATGGGTACTGGCCAATTCTTTAGGAACAGACTCCTAAACTTACAACCCTAAGCCTTGTCTTAGGGGCTGAGTAGGTAACCTTTCACCTTTTGGGCTCATACAACCAATATCGTACCCTTCTATGACTTAAAAGATTAACTTTTTTGGGGCTAGGATACTCAGAAAACCAAGCCCTAAACCTTCCTTCGAAAACCTAAGCCCAAGTCCCTAAACCTAACTTGTAAAAAAATGTAAAACCCAGCCCCGAAGCCTCTTCTTGTGGACCAGACCTTAAGTCCCAGACTTAAAAAAGGGGCCCTCAATAATTAGAGTAGGGTCTTGGGGGCCATTATTACAGTTATAGCAAGGGGCCCCCCAAATAGTGTTAATTAAGGCTCTGGTTAGAGGGGCTTTCGGTCTGAATGTTCATATTCTACATGTTAGATGCGCAATCTTCTGGGTAAGTGCTCTTCTAAATTGAGACAATCGCCTTAGCTTTGGCGCAATCTTCCAAAAGAAGCTCTTCAAACAAAACCAAGAAAGCATTGTAGCTATGGAGATTGTGTTGCGGCAGCTTAGGTATGGGTGGTTGTCAAAATTGTGGTCCCGTTTTGCGTCCCTATTGTAATACGGCACCTAATATTTAGGGTACCCCAAAAAGGGACCCTAATTTTGACCACCACCTATATGGAGACGGAATCGTGCAGACTAGTCTCCAGCTCTCTGCGCGAGGCTGCACGTGGCCGCCGCGGCGCCGGAGGATTCCAAGGAGGACGGTGATGCTGCACCCTAAGGATCCATGTGCTCATATAGGGGTCCCTTTAAGGGTACTTTAAGGGTTACTATAAGGGTTACTATAAGGGCTGTATAAGGGATCTATTAGGGTTCTATAGTTTGAGGGTCCATGTACTCATATACTAGGCACATTAACCTTAAAGTAGTCCCTACACAGGTCCTTTGGGGTCCATGTATCTCTATATGGGTACCCCCATGGATCCTTAGGGGCAGGTTTGAGGTCGTGTAGTTTAGAAGGCTCCAGGGTTTCTCTCTCCTGCTTGGTGTTTAAGGTTAAGGGTTTAGGGGTTTAGGGTTTAGGGGTTTAGGGTTTAAGGTTCAAGGTTTAGGGGTTTAGGGTTTCTGTAGTCAGACTGGTTCTATATGTCAGACCTCGCGAGCGGGCATCGACTTCCAAGTTTAGGGTCTTGGCATCTTAAATTCCAGGCTTCTGGGTTTTAGGGTGTAGGGCTTCAGGGATTGCAGGATACTTGATTCTAGAGATATTGCCCCGAACAAATCAGCATGGCTTCTCGCAAACCGTGACGGAAATCACTGCAATGGATAGCATCCCTTCCCGGCATGCAGCTGATATAGCTGTGTGCGGCGCCGTGCACAGGATAATTTCTCGATGGTATTAGGGGGACCCCCCTTAAAGGGGACCTTCCTTAACCCCACTTCTTGCTCTCCTTTAAACGGGACCTTATTGAGAGGGTCCATGTCTCCAACGGGACCCCCTTAATCCTAACCGTCCAGTCCCTAAGCCCTAATCCCTCATCCCTACCCCGCCCTAAATTTCCTAAGTCACTAAACCCCTAAACCCTGGTTACTGGTTTAGGGTCCCTAATCCTGACTCCGATCTATTGCACCAGTACTCCTTCCCAACAAGCTGCTGCTGGGGCGGTCCCTTAATTAAGGAATAGACCGGCTTAGGGTTTGCGGTTTAGACTTCAGGGTTTTGGGTTTAGGCTTTAGGGTTTGGGGTTTAGTAGCAGGAAAAGGAGGATTATAGTAGGATCCCTCATGTACTTGAAGGTGTTTCCTCGATTAATGGTATTGGAGAGGAAGATCTGGTAGAGTCCTTGCACAATCCCACTGCTGCTGAGCTTGCCTCCGTGGGCCTCACTGCCCCGAAATCCTTTTGAAGAAGAAATTCCAAGGGTAAAAGGAGTGACCCTTAATAAGGACCCGTAGGTATATACCCTTAATATAGCTATTATATACCCATTATATAGCCCATTATACGGTAGGGGTCCCCATTAAGGTTCCCTCCTTTTCCCCCTTGAGAAAAGCGTAAGGTCAGCATTGAGCAGAAACTGTGTGTGCCAGGAGCGAGGCATCTTTGTGGCTTGTCTTGCAATCAGATTCAGCGTTTCAGCGAGTTCAGGGCTTGGGGTCTGGGGCTTAGGATTTAATTAGTTGGGGTGTCATAGTAACATTTAGAATTTTGGGCTTAGGATCCTTGATGAGCCTTGGTCATGACGATGACGATGTTATTGCATTGATAGAACGAACGGCAGTCTTCGATGCAAGTGGCCGCAAGAAGTGCGTAGGCATGCCCTAGAAGTGCTCATAAACTTAAAGTGGGTCTCCCTGATCCTCAAACGCTATCTCGCTAGGATAGCTGGCTCCTGACGACCAAGGCAAGGTAACCGGAATCTGAAGAACGCCCAACCCCCGCCGACCCCACCCAAGCACCTAAACCCCAAACCCTAAACCCTAAACGCATGGGACAGTGGTCGCCTACGTGGACCTGGTCTTCATGGGGCGACAACACCAACTTCAACAACAACAACAACCAGTGGTCTGGAAGCTCGGGACAGGGATGGAACCAGTACAACGACTGGAGCCGTGCCTCACCTGGAACTTCAAGCACGTGGTGGGATGAAGGAGGGACTGGTAACTATTATGGCCGCGATGGGTCACTCCAACATCAGCCTGAACAACAAAGTCGAGCTGATTACCAACTGTGGGGACGTGAAGTACCTGACTGGCATGCACAACGTGACGATTCTCGCCCACCTGTACGACTTCGACCTGCTCAACCTCATCGTGCGCGGGGAGATCAACAATGGGATGACCAGCATGTACAACCTCGTCGAGAACAGTGGTGGGATGAACAACAAGCACGTCGTGAACAAGACCGTCCTTCTGCTGGTGGTGATGGGCATACTGGCGAAGATCGTGGTCCATACCTTTGGGTGCCTGGATGGGGTCGGGGTGCTCCTCTTCTTCCTCCAGACCGTCGAGCCCCGGGGTTTTACCGTGGTGGCTATTGGTTCGACCGTCCTCGCAACGATTGGGAGGAGAGATGGCAACGTGGTGGAGGAGGGGAGACTCGTACACAACGAAGAGAGGGACGACAAGCACAGTGGTTTGACGGATCCTTTCGCCCAGCCGCCTTCCGTCGAGCACAAGAGCAACACGGTAGTGGGGTGACACCGGATCCGCGTTTGCGGGACCACTTTCGAGAGTTACTTCGACAAGCCGACGCCCCACTTCGGAACCACGGCCATGGTGGTGTCCAGCAAAACCAAGCGTGGGATGATCAGCCAGCACCTGGGATGACCCATCAAGTTCAGTCGCATACATCTACAGGGACGTGGACATCGCCCAGATGGACTGCAGCTGAATGGAACGCCTGGTCCGTAGAAATGGCTCGTCGACGCTGTCGAGATGGTGATGCGGATGGGGTGGAGACCAACCTGGACTGGTCTGGCGATGGCTTGCCTGATCTCCAGTCCTTTGTCGCGGCGCTGTCGACAGGAATGCAAAGCACGTGCACCTCGTCCACTACGACCACCTCGCTGGGATGGAAGCCTACCACGACCCCCATGTCATCGCCTTCGTTGACCTCGACAACCACTACGCGGACCGGGGCGGAAACTGCCGAAGATGATGGTGACACCACGGTGCTCATGCAAGCACGAGCAACGGGGTGTGGAGACCCTCCACCAAACCGCCCAGGTGAAGATGGTGAACATGATGAAGATAGGGATGTACCTGGGCCAAACGAGACTGACACCAACCCCGAGGAGCCTGTGGAGCCTGACGTGCCTTTCCAACTGACTGCTGATGAAAGGGATGAACTGTTGGAGCTGGGGTGGGACGCTGGCGTTGTCGATGACCTGCGTGAGTTCCTCGCGTACCTGGAGGTGTCCGTGACCGCGCAGGGGTGGAAGCAGTGGCGTGGGCATTGGGACAGTGGGCTCACTCGCTCATCCTCTCGGAAACCACCCTGGACCTTGTGCATGACGTGTTGTTTCGTCGAGTCGGTGGGGCGAGCGAACAAAGGCCGGAGGATGTGGGCATGCGTGGACGCCTGTGCGTGGGGTTTGCTGGTTTCCAGAAGGTCCTTGGGTCGTTCCACCTGAAGATCGTCCAGAGGCTCATGCAGGACGTTTGGTTGGAGGCCAAGGACGTTGGGGATCCACCGTATTTGCCACCGCCTGGGATGATGATAGCTGCCAATACGAACACGGCTGCGATCGCCCTCGACACTGCTCGTGCTAGAGCACGTGCCATGATAATGCGTGCCAGAAGTCAACGTGGGGTGCAACAACAGCCTGGCGAAGTAAGAGATGCTGGTGCAGCTGACACCACCAGTGGTGCACGTGCCAGTCATGAACCACCGCCGGGACGTGCTGATCGTGATGATGGAGCTGATCGAGCTGGTGATGCCGACGATGGGGATGGTTCCGATGAAGATGTGGACGATGCCACGCTCATGCAGCTCACGGCGGCGGAGGAGGGCCTTCTCCAGGAGCTCGGGGTGTGTGATGAACTTCGTGTACGATGCTGAATACCGCTGGGGTGTTCAACAACTACTTCACTCCTCCTCTGAAGCTTCGTCAGTGGTACAGGGGGTGCTTCGCATACTGCGTGAGTCCAACCCAGTGGGGTGATGTGCAGCTTCCCATGCCAGCACGTTCCTCCTTTTGGGACGTTGCGCTCACGAGTCGTTGCATGGATGTCTGAGTACAGACATCTGGTGGTCCAGACCTTCGACAGGGAAATTGAGGCCAGTCTTCGCGAACTAACGGGGTGTCCTCCTGGAAGTACCAACCCGTTTGGACCCTTCCCTGATGCCGGTGTGGGGTGGAGCAGAGCCACTCGTGAGGCACCACGTGGCAGTCGCTCCCGCTCCCGCAGCCGGGACGTGCAACGCGATGCTCGCCGGGACGTGCAACGCGATGCTCCACCTGCTACTCGAAGTGCTGGGATGACTGGCCTCAACAATGACTTGGGGAGCCATTCGGCGGGAGATGGTGGTGTAGATGGTGTACATGGCACCCCTGCCCAAGAAGTACATCAACTAGTTCCTGCACCACCTGTTCTGCCTGCACATCCTGCTCTACCTGTACAACAAGCTGGAGGAGAAGTTCGTGGCGTCCTTCATGGTGCACCTTCTGTACATCCACCCAGTGAAGAGGTGGTTGCCCCTGACTTCCTGGGAAGCCACCCATGTGGACATCCACCTCTTCCAGTACCACCTGTTCTCCCTGCACAACCTGCTCTACCGGTACAACAAGCTGAAGGAGAAGTTCGCAGTGTCCCTCATGGTGCACCTTCTGTACATCAACCCTGTGAGGAGGTGGTCAACCCAAGTACCCTGGGAAGTCTGCCCGAACAACCTGAGGGATGTTCCGATCCACCTGGTGCTCACTCTTCCGCAGTTCCCTCTCCTGGTGATCTTCCCCGTCCTTGCGAAGTTCCTGCTGTCCGCCCGGGTCATGGAGTAGAAGGGGAGATGGAACTCCAGCCAGTGGGATGTTCGGAATGTGAGTTACCAGCATCTCCTGCTGGTGAAGACACAGGCACGAACCCTTCTGAGCAGCTGGGTTGTCCTTCCTCTAGTGAGGCTTGTCCGTGAGTGCAGGGTCGAAAGCTAAATGCAGAGTCCGTGGCTGTCTGATCAGCCATACAGCGAAGCTTCACCTTCCGGTGATGGGATGTTTTGATTGCCTGCTCATGGGTCGTTCTTATGACTTTGAGCAGTACTCTTTCTGTGTAGGCCTCAATGAGGCAGGCTGACGCTGCACAACAGAAAAGGCCGCTGCACCTTAAAAAAAAAAAAAAAACCCTAAACGCCGCACCCCAAACCCTAAATCGTAAACCCTACACCCCACACCTCAAACCCTAAATCGTAAACCCTAAACCCCGAATTCTAAATCCTGAACCTCAAACCCTGAACCCCAAACCCCAACCCACCAAAAGTGTCGCAGATGTGCACGGCGAGCAGGCCCAGAGCAAACTCTCTCAAGGCGAAGTGATCGCCAAGGCGCCTTGATGCAGCACAGCAGGGGGGGTTTAGGGGTTTAGGGTCCCTTTAAAGGGATCCATAAGGGTATAGTACATGTAGTCTCCATGGTAGTTCCTTTTTTGGTTTAACCAATATGTATATTAAGGATCCTATAAGGTAACCCAAAAAAAGGAACTACAATGGAGACTATAGGTAATCCCTAAATTTCATAGGAGGCCAACAGGGGTTTAGCCTAATTATGGGGGTTTAGCAGGGATTAGGGTTCCCAGAGTGGGATAGGGATCAAAAAAAAAATAGAAAAGGATCAAAAAAAAAATAAAAAGGGATCAAGAAGAAAATAAAAAAGGATCAAAAACAAAATAAACGCTCAATCAAGAGCTAGGCTTCCGGTCCCCTGGTCCCCTGGTCCTCTGGTCCCCTGGTCCTCTGGTTCCCTGGTCCTCTGGTCCCCTGGTCCTCTTGTACTCTTGAATCCGTGCAAATACACACAAAAACTTTGCAAATACACAGTAAATTTGTGCAGATACACACTAAATGTGTGCAAACACACACTACATGTGTGCAAATACACACTAAATCCATAGAAATACACACTAAATCCATAGAAATACACACTAAATCCGTGCAAATACACTCTAAATCAGTGCAAATACACACGAACTGTGTGCAAATACACACTACAAAAAAGTGTGCAAACACACACTACACGCGTACAAATACACACTAAATGTGTACAAATACACACTAAATGTGTGCAAATACACACTAAATGTGTACAAATACACACTGAATGTGTACAAATACACACTAAATGTGTACAAATACACATTAAATGTGTACAAATACACACTAAATGTGTACAAATACACACTAAATGTGTACAAACACACTAAATGTGCAAATACACACTAAATGTGCAAATACACACTAAATGTGTGCAAATACACACTAAATGTGTACAAATACACACTAAATGTGTGCAAATGCACACTAAATGTCTGCAAATACACACTGTGCAAAAATGCACACTAAATCTGTGCAAACACACACTACATGTGTGCAAATACACACTAAACTAAACCCGTGCAAATACACACAAAATCCGTGCAAATACACACTAAATGTGTGCAAATACACACAAAATGTCTGCAAATACACACTAAATCCGTGCAATACACACTATATGTGTACAAATACACAGTAAATGTGTACAAATACATATTAAATTTTGAGTAAATGTGTGCAAATACACACTAAATGTGCACACACACACACACACACACTACATGTGTGCAAATACACACTACATGTGTGCAAATACACACTAGATGTGTACAAATACGCATTAAATGTATACAAATACACATTAACTGTGTGCAAATACACACTATATAAATGTGTGCAAATACACACTACATGTGTGCAAATAGTAAATGTGTGCAAATACACACCAAATCCGTGCAAATACACACTAAATGTGTGCAAATACATTAAATCCGTGCAAATACACACTAAATGTGTACAAATACACACTAACTGTGCACAAATACACACTACATGTGTACAAATACACACTAGATGTGTGCAAATACACACAAAATCCGCACAAATACACACTAGATGTGTGCAAATACACACCAAATCCGCGCAAATACACACTAAATCCGTGCAAATATGCACTAAATCCGTGCAAATACACACTAAATGTGTGCAAACACACATTAAAGTGTGCAAACACACACTACATGTGTGCAAATACACATTAAATCCGTGCAAATACACACAAAACCTATGCAAATACACATAAATGTGTGCAAATCCGTGCAAATACACACAAAATCCGTGCAAATACACACTAAATCCGTGCAAATACACAGTAAATGTGTACAAATACACACCATATGTGTACAAATACACACTAAATGTGTACAAATACACATTAAATGTGTACAAATACACACTAAATGTGTGCAAATACACATTAAATGTGTACAAATACACACTAAAAGTGTACAAATACACACTAAATATATACAAATACATAACACATTTGTGCAAATACACACTAAATGTGTACAAAAATACACACTAAATCCGTGCAAATACACACTAAATGTGTGCAAACACACACTAAATGTGTGCAAACACACACTACATGTGTGCAAATACACATTAAATCCGTGAAAATACACGCAAAAACCTTGCAAATACACACTAATGTGTGCAAATACACACTAAATGTGTGCAAACACACACTACATGTGTGCAAACACACACCACATGTGTGCAAATACACATTAAATGTGTGCAAATACACACTAAATGTGTACAAATACACACTAAATGTGTACAAATACACACTAAATGCGTGCAAATACGCACTAAATGTGTACAAATACACACTAAATGTGTACAAATACACACTAAATGTGTACAAATACACACTAAATGTGTGCAAATACACATTAAATGTGTGCAAACACACACTACATGTGTGCAAATACACACGAAATCCGTGCAAATACAGACAAAATCCACAGTAAATGTGTGGAAATACACACTAAATGTGTACAAATACACAACACATTTGTGCAAATACACACTAAATGTGTACAAATACACACTACGTGTGTGCAAATACACACAAAATCCGTGCAAATACACGCAAAATCTTTGCAAACACACACAAAATGTGTGCAAATACACACTTTTTGTTTCCACATTTATTTTTATATTGATCCCTTTTTATTTTTTTTTTGATCCTGATTTTTTTATTTTTTTTTTGATCCCTTTTTATTTTTTTTTGATCCGGCAGCCCTTCCCAGAGTGGGGTTCATATTAAGGAATCGTAGCAGGGGTCAACTTCTCGGAGGCCTCAAAAGGTGGGATGAAGGTAGGTAGGATGAAGGATCCCTCATATGAGGACTCTTACTTGGGAATATCCCACCTACCTTTATCCCACCTTAGGAGCCCTTTTCCCTAAATTCCTTGCTGTCATGCGGAGAAATGCCGTTGCATTTTCGAAAAGCCTTAAACTCCTTAACCCCAGATCCTAAACCGCCTAAACCCCTAAACCCTTCTTTACGGCTCGAGGACTACAGGATCGAGGGGCACTAGGAAATGTATGGTGGGTTTGGGAACTCAGAAGTTTATTATGTCAGCTTGTCAGCAAGCCACAAAATTCAGACTTGTTTCAGTGAGCATTGATTCCGAAGGTTTTTAAGCTTAACGAATAGCCTTGCAACTCACTTGACTCGCTTGAACCTTCGACTAGGCGCAATACTACCCTACACCCCTAAACCCTGAACTCAGCATGTCGATGCCGCAAAATTCGTCCTGCTGTTGGCGCGAGTTTTCGGACCGGCCGTTCGGCGAAAGCCCTCTCCTGGAACCCAATGCCCTGCATCGTCATGTGGGGCTTTGATAGGTATCATCAATACGGTGTTGAGGGTTCCTGAAGATTTTTGACTGTGGTATAACAGCTGGTATAATCTACTCCAAAGCCCCTGCTCTAATGATTACACTATTCCCTATATGACATAGTTTGGCTGCAGGTTCCACAGTCCTGCGTGTTCTCTTCCGAGAAGGCTTGGGAAAGCGCAGTAGGCGCTTGGCCGCAATCAAATATGTATGCCTGGGCTCGTTTGCGGGAGTTCCAATTGGGTTTATTAAGCAAATGATCCCTGTCCCCTAAACCTTTGCAGAAACCTTATAGAACCCTCAACGGAACCCTTAGAGGAACTTTAAATTTTGGCAACTTCAAATACATTCCTTCACGAGGACCCAACTTGTACAGAGACCGTATGGATACGGAATCTTAAATTTCGGCATCTTGAATTACATTGCTTAGCAAGGATCCAAATGCTGCGATGCCAGCGAGCATTCCCAGATTTTTCACAGTCGGGTCGTCCTGAAGGTTCCCTGGCCCTGAACCACCCCAAACCCCAAAACCCTAAACCCTACACCCTAAACCCCTAACCTTGGGGCCCTAAACCCTAACCCCCTAATCCTAGGGCCCTAAACCCCTAACCCGAGGGACCCCTAACCCGAGGGCCCTAAACCCCTAAACCCTAAGCCGTTTTATGGTTTTGTACCGGATTGGGGGTTTCGGATGCCAGATGTCTGCTTGAGGTTAAGGTTCCCATGTCGGATAGACGAAGTGAGCCCGAAACGGGTTTAAGATTCTTACACCATGGGGTCATGGTGTAATTTTAGGGTTTAGGGTTTAGGGCCCAAAGAACTCCCACGACATTGGGAGATGTGGCTTCCAGCCCCGTCGTTCGGTTTACTGGCCCAAGGGGACCGAAAGATGGTGAAATGTAGGGGCCTAGTGCCTTTGCCTAAACCCTATAGACCCTAAAACCCTAAAGCCCTATATAGACCCTGAATCCTAAACCCTAAACCCCTAAAACCTAAACCGACTGAGGACAGGCCTGCTTGGACACCTTTCCAAAGGGAGAGGCTTGGGATGGTGTCGAC